TACGACTACGACTACTACTACTACTACTACTACTACTACTACTACTACTACTACTACTACTACTACTACTACTACTACTACTACTACTACTACTGCGGAACAAGGCCGCTGGCCCTGTTCCGCCAGCCCTGTTCCGCCAGTCCTGTTCCGCCGAAGCCCTGTTCCGCCGAGGCCCTCTTCCGACCGGCCCTGTTCCGGCCCGCCCTGTTCCGCCGCGGCCTTGTTCCGACCGGCCCTCTTCCGCCGAGGCCCTGTTCCGCCCAGGCCCTGTTCCGCCGGCCCTGTTCCGACCGGCCCTGTTCCGCCGCGTGAAAGCCTCGGGCGCCAGGACTGCGCGCCCGTCCGGCGGCGGAACCGGGCCGGGGCGGGACCGGGCGGGTCCGAACCGGGCGGGTCGGAGGCGGGCTTGGTCGGAACCGGGCCTGGTCGGAACCGGGCCTGGTCGGAACCGGGCGCGTCGGATTCGGGCGTCGGCGGAACCGGGCGGGTCGGAACGGGGCCTGGTCGGAACAGGGTCTGTGTCTTAGTGGGGGAGAATTTGAAACGCTGCGCTCCCGAAGGGGGCGCCACAACAAATCTTTCGACTGTGGCCCCCACTCTCGCTGAACACTGATATGCACTTCTCGTGGCCCGAAGCGACGTCTTCCTTCTCCTGAGGTCCCAGTGCGTCGGGTGCGTCGCCGCGCGCTTGCCTCGTCCGCAATGCCTGATTCCGGTTCGCCGTGAAACGCCATATGCAAATTCTGAAGCGTGGGTGGACTCTCGATGGCAAGCTTCTCGCGCGGACCCCGCGACGGGGTCGCCTCCTCAAACGCGCGGGGTTGCGATGCGCTCTGAGCCCGCGGCTGCGCCTGCGCCGTTGCCTTCGATCTCCTGCTGCTGGGATTAGGGGCCAGCTTGGGCCCATCGGGGTGATCGGAGGGCCTGGGCCTTTGCAGAGTCCACCCTGGCGCGAGAGCCATGCCAAAATCTAACGTGATGCTCAGGCCATAATGAGCATTGCCTGCCCATTCCGCCGCTGCGAAATCCGCCTCGGCACACTCGGCAGGAAACAGGCGGCGAGCTCGCCGGTCGATGGTGAGGAAACCCACCATGCGGCCGCAGCCTAAAGTGCAAGTGTAGTCTGAGCCAGCCTGACTGCCCCAGCTGAGGAGGAGTGCAAATCGAATCTCCTGCCACGAGCCATGAAGCCTGAACTGTTCTGCGGATCGCTCCGAGATTGGCGAGCTCCTGCAGATTGCCCGCGACGCCAATCGAGGTGGTAGGGCGCGCTCCCACGATCAGCAGAGACTGCCCCGACGCGCGAACCTGCACCCCAACCAAATCCAGCAAGTCAAATCCCGACTGCTTCCCATGACACGGCTGCCTCAGGCCGACCTGGTCACGCGGCGAAGAAGCCATATGCCTCGGGGAAGCAGCCATATACCTTTCCCCGACCCCCATAGTAATGCCCCCCCGCCTTGACGGTAGAGGACGTGGAGTAGGCTGCCGAAACGACTCCAACATGCCCAGCGTTTCTCCAATCCTGAAGACAGGAGTGGGATTCCGCCGGCAAAACATTGGCCTCAGGAGTGATGATACTGGCTCTTCTGCGTTGTTGGGCTAGGGGCTCCGGCGCTGGTCCCCCGCCGCTAAGATTGCGAACGCACTGGATTTCGTGGATCGGCCCCCTCGGAAGAGACAACGCGCCCCCCCTCGCCATGGGCAGCGCGGGCTCCAGCGAGTCCGCCCCAGCCGTCTGACCCAGTCCTCGGCGAACCCCATCCCGCAGCGATTTTCCCGAGCGGGGCCACCCTGGCCGTCGTCGCGGACAGTGTCTGACGCTCGTGGCCTGGGGGCGCGCGCCGCGGGGATGTCTCTAGCTTCTCGGGGTCGGGGCGGCCGCTGCATGTCGTCGCAGTAGGGCCCGCCTTCACAACCTGCCCAGCGGGGGCGCACCGCGCTGAAGCCCTCGTAGTGGTCGGCATGGTAAACGTACTCGGTGGAGCGGGATCGACCCCTCGACCTCCGTCATGCGACGGCCCACCGAGGTCAAGCGGGTCGCGGGCTAAAGGCTCGACCGCTCCGCCGCCTCCATGCGAGCACGGTCCCGCACGGCCTCGGCCTCCCCACCGAGCTTCGCAGCGATGGCGCCCATCTTCAGCGCCACCGCGTCGGCGCCACCTGCCTCTGAGTTGGCAGACTCTGGGGCTGGGCTGGGGCCCCTGAGCCAGGCTGGCTTGGGCCCGCTGACGCCTGCTCCCCTTCCGCCTTGTCTCCCAGGTGGGGCCGCTGGATCCTGGGCCACTGGCGCCGCCACCTGAGCCCCTCCGCCACTGCCAGGAAGTGGCGTGGTCTTCCTCCTCTGGATGTTCCTCTCGCGGAGCGCCGCCAACGAATCGCGATGCTTCTTGCGCTTCTCCTTAAGATTGCCGAAGGAAGTCTTCATGGTGTCATACAGCGCATTCTTCACCGCGGCCTCGCGCCTCTCGAGCTCCTCGATGTCGGCCTGGGTCACAACTCCGTCATCGTTGTCGAAGTCCACCCCCATGTTGAGCGAGAACATGGAATCGTCCAAGTCACAGGACGTGAGCATGGCGCTCAAGTCTATGGTCTATGGTGGGCGCTCCGCTACGCTGTGCACCTGGCCCAGGCGCATCCTTCGGCAACGTGGCCTTGAAGAGGCTGGCTCCCTCCTGCCTCGCTTCGGCCAGCGCCTTGGCGGCCTCGTGGAGCACCCCCGTGTCCTTCTCCATATCAGCAGCGAGCTTGACCTGGGCCTTCTGCGATTTGTCAAACGTCGCCTGAGCCCGCTGCACCTTCGCCGAAACTTCTGTGACCATCTGGGTGCTGTGCGGCTTGGCCTGGCGAGCCGCCTCGGCCGCCGAAACCTGCAGCAACGCCTGGGCGGCCCTGGCGGACTCAGAGCCGGCATGGGCCTTGAACGACGCCTGAAGCTGGGGCGAGAAGTCGGGCGCACCCCCGCCCACTCCCTTCCCTTTGCCCGTTCTCTTCCTGGTGCCCTGGCTCTCCTAGAGAAAAAGCATATTCGAGAAGGCTGACCCACATAAGCACGCGTTGCGATACAGCGCGAGCTTGGAAGTCCACGCCCATCACCTGCAAGTTGACTAACTGCACCGGACCTTGACATCATGATCGCCCGCCAGAGGCTGTGGCGGCGGCGGCGGTGGCGGCCGCGGCGTCCACCACGCTCCCCGCTGTGTGCCCTGCGGCCAGGACGGTGGACCTCCTCCGCACTGCGGCCCAGGTGTGGGCGGAATGAGCGGCTGGAGAGGTGGCCATGGATCGAAGCGACCAATATCCTGTTGTTTCCGCCTCTGGCGAGCTCTGCGTTCCATCGCTTTTTCACCGACTACTCGTGCCCTTGATCCTGAAATCAAAATCGCGGACTCCAGCCGATACCTCGTGAAGGTTGTCGATGGCCCCTGGAAGCCCCCCGCGCGCTGGCGCCAGGGGCAGCAGGGCCAACACGGCTGGAGGAGGATGAGGAGGAGGAGGAGGAGGGGGGGAGGAGGGGGAGGAGGCGAGTGAGCCTCGCCGCGTCACGAACTGCCGCAAGCGCATGCACACGCCGGGCACGCGGCGGGATGTTCTGCGTGGTCGGACGCGGTGTGCCTTCTGCCCATCGAGCGCGTCGGCGCCGCGCATGTCGCTCCCTGTTGGGGTCTTTTCTGGGAGGCACTCGTGCCCACGGCAGGCGGCCCGCCCATCCATCGTCCTCCTCGTCATCGTCCTCCTCCTCCTCCTCCTCCTGCTCCCTCTCCTCCTCCTCCTCCTCCTCCTCCTCCTCCTCCTCCTCCTCCTCCTCCTCACTCATCCTCCTCCTGCTCCATTTCCTCCTCCTCCCTCCGTTCTCCTCCGTTTTCCTCTCCTCCTCCTCCCTCCTCCTCCTCCTCTCCTCCTCCTCCTCCTCCCCCACCTCCCCCTCCCCCACCTCAGTTGAACAATTTGAAGACGACGTTCCTCTTCCCCTTGAGGTCATCAGGATGACGGCGGGCCCTCTCCGCTTCTTTTTTTTTCGGATTTGAGAACACAGTTTTGCTGTGTTTGCTACAATCCGATTGCTTTCTGTGCTCCAAACTAGTGTTCCGTCCGCAACGTGGGTTCCATTTTCGGATCGGCGCTTTGCTCCCGTCGCGTTCTCGCCCCAGCGCCGGCCATTTTTCTGGATCCGAATTGTCGCCCCCCGCATTTCCCCGCCTCCTCCTTTCCCTGGTCCTCCTCTTCCTCCCGCTCCCTTTCGTCCTCGTCCTTTGCCGCCCGCTCATCCTCCTGACCACCGACCACCTCCTCCTCCCCCTGTGCCTGCAGATTCCCGTCTCCCGATTGCGTACAACGCGATGTGGCCCTCTGGCTGGAGCTGCAGGTCCGTCAGGGCGCGCGTCCACGGGCAGAGATCAGCGCAAACGGAAGAGATGGGCGGGAGGGATGGGATGTCATATGAGGCGCGAGCGCGCCTGGATTGTCACCCCCACCCTCTCCCACCTCCACCCCGTCATCCTCCTCCCCCTCTCTTTCCCCTCCCGCTCCCCCCCTCCATCCCCCCGCCACTCCCTCCACTCGCTTCCTCTCACATGCCCTCCCCCCCTCGCAGCCAAGCCAATGTCGCGTCACTTTGGCGCAGGAGTGCCGCGCGGGCGCGAAGGAGAGATGTGCACCGCCGGGGCGAGCAGTCGCGAGCGCTTCGTGTCCCGACCTCTCTTCATCTCCCTCCTCCTCTTCCTTCTCCCTCCCCCGTCTTGGCCGTCGACGTCGTCGTCGTCGTCCTCCTCTTAACGTTTCTAGCGTTTCGGCCATCGTGAGTTTGATCTCGCAGGCAGCAGCGACTTTCGGTCGCATCGAATTAAGCTGCCTCCTCCTCCTCCCTCTTCCTCCCTCTTCTTCCTCCTCCTCCTCCTCCTCCTCCTCCTCCCTCTTTCTCCTCCTCCCTCCTCCTCCTCCTCCTCCTCCTCCCACCCCCCACGAAGCTATCTCTCCCTCTCTGCCCGCGCCGCCCCTGGTGGATTTGCCGGGAGGCGCGCCCGATAGGCCCTGTGGTGTGTGACCCAGTCGACCTCGTCTGCGGCCTCGCGCGCGCGCGCGGCTAGGGGGCAACCACACGATGTGACCCCTGCCCCTGCAGGTCAGTTTCCTCCGAAATGGCGGCTGGTGTTCAGAATCCGACGGCAGCCTGCAGCCGTGTGGGCCCTAGCGGAGGTGGTCACTGCCCCAGCGTCGATTCGACCCGCAGGGGTACGCTTCGCAACTGGGCGCAGGTGGGCACGCAGGGCATCGCCTTCCCCAGCAACTTCCAGATTGTCGAGGAGACGAGGGAGGAGGAGGAGGAGGAGGAGGAGGAGGAGGAGGAGGAGGAGGAGGAGGAGGAGGAGGAGGAGGAGGACCAGCGTCAGGCCTGGTCGTGCAACCGAGGGACGGGAGCACGGGCCTATCATACAAGATTAGTCGGGTCTTAAAGACTTGCCCGACTTGGGATGGCGACCAGCCTTGATAGCAGATATAGTAGATGTCTGCTTGTATCTGGTCTGCCCGTGCTCCGACGGCCCCAAACAGCTATCCTGCAACCTGCAATTCGCAACTTTGCCACTGGACACCTGATAGGAGCCGCACAGGGTGCACACCTTGGCCCACGGGAGCACCAAGACACGATGGCCCTGGAGCTCGGAGGAGGAGGAGAGGAGAGGAGGAGGAGGAGGAGGAGGAGGAAAAGATCCAGGGTCTTGGCGCGCGCTGGCCCTCTCAGAGGCTCCCCATCCTTCTCCTCGTCTCGGCGCCGCGCACATTCGCCGTCAGAGGCTTCCGACAAACCCGCGCAGATTGACGACGGGCTGCCTTCAAAGCGTGGCTGTCGCCTCGGCACCTCCTCCGCTCATCTCAACGGCCTGAAAACCGCTGGACGGGTGGAAGATTGACCCGCTTCTCCCATATGTGGCCGTCGCCTCTGCGCCACGCACAATCGTCTTCACAGCTTCCGCTGATGTCACCAGTCCTTTAGGCTAATGTGGTCTAGCGAATTTTCCTCTTCCAAACACCTTTCCGGGAGGGGTTACCTCCTCCCCCCTGCCAGATTTGTTTTTTTTTTGGGGGGGGGCGCGAGGCGTTAGAGCGTCCAAGACGGCTCCAAGACGGCTCCAAGATGGGTCAAGACACCAGACGATGGTTCAAGATAGCTTACGGCATACCTCAAAGAGGCCCGACGTGGGCCATAAGACTGTTCCAGATGCTCTCGGAGCCCCCTTCGGGACATTCCCAGGAAGCCAAGATCCGTCAAAAACCAAAAGAAAAACAACGAGGTATGCTGCTTTCTAGCCATTTCGCTTCCGATGCGCTTTTGAGGCCTCAAGATGGCCCCAAGATGCCCCAAAAGAGGCCCAAGAGGGGCCCAAGCGGCCCCCCAAATGGCCCCAAGAGCTCCCAAGAGCGCCCCAAGAGGCGATGTTGATGGCCCCAGGAGGGAGGGGAGGGAGGGGAGGGAGGGGGGACAAAATCGGTGACCCCTCCCCTTTTGATCGATGGCCTCCAAGATGGTCCCAAGAGGCCCTCCAGGGCTCCCACGGGACCCTCAAGAGGGCTCCAAGAGGGCCCCAAGACCCCCCAACAGAGCTCCAAGAGGACTCCAAGATCCCCCAAAAGAGTCCTAAGAGGGCTCCAAGGGGCGACTTTGATGGCTCTGTCCTCGTCCTCGTTGTGGTCCTTCTCCTCCTCCTCCTCGTCCTAATCCACGTCCTTGCCTTCATCGTCTTCAGTTTCCGTTTCCTCCTTTTACTCGTCGTCGTGGTCGTCGTCGTAGGCGCCTTCCTCCTCCACCTCCTCTTCCTCCTTCTCCTTCTCCTCCTCCTCCGCCTCCTCCTCCTCCTTCTTCCCCCGCCCCCACGCAGGCCCCCGAAGAAGCATTCCCCGAAGAGGCCCTCCAAAGCCGCCCCCTTGCTCCCAGAGATGTCCCTGTTCACCCTGCTTGCCCATTCTGTTTCACTACATGTGTCTCTTCGTCCCTCTTCCCGTCAACTCTCATGGGCAGGGTTTCCGACTTGGCTGGTGGAGATACACGAAGCGTGAAGAATTGAACCGATGGAGGGCGGCTCCTTTTCAGTATGTTATTCGCCTGTTGGTTTCGTTGCAGCGTTGAGGTCAGAACTGCAAACCAGCGCAGACGTTATCTTTCCATTGCAAAATTGCTTGTCACTGTCCTCGTTGTCGCTCGTCCTCCTCATCGTCGTCCTCCTCCTCCGCATCCTTCATCCTTCTCCTTCCCCGCGTTTCCGTTCGCCTTCTGCACCTCATCCTACCCTCGTCGATTTCATCCCTTCCTCATTCTTATCAACTATCCTCCTGCCCCCTCCACTCCCCTCCCTCTGGTTGTCGTCGTCGTCATCCGTGGTGTCCTCATCATCCTCCTCGTACCCGCCGTCGCCGTCCTCGTCCGGTCCGACTGCTCCTCATTATTCCTTCTCCCCTTCCTCCCTTCCTACTCCTGGCTGTCGTCGTCCTACCCCCCTCCGTCCCCCTCATAATCCTCTTACTCGTCGTTATACTCGTCATGATCAATTCCCTCCTCCTCCTCCCCCTCCTCCTCCTCCTCCTCCTCCCCCCTCTCTTTCTTTACGTACCTCCTCCTCCTCCTCATCCTCCTCAGCCTCCTCCTCCTACCGCTCGTCGTCCTTATCCCCTTCCCCGCCTCCTCGCATACCCTCCTGATTTCTCTCTTCCTTCTCCTCCTCCTCCTCCTCCTCCTCCTCCTCCTCCTCCTCCTTTGCTCATCCGCCTTGCCTGCTCGATCTCCCCCTGCTGCTGCTATCGTTCCTCATCCTCCCCGTGGCCGAGATGCCAAACGCGGCGACACCGTCACAAGTTCTTCGAGCGTCCCAAAATCATAGCTAGCGCGTGCGTGCGATGAGCACCACGCTTGGCGCGTCCTTGGTCTTGGTGCGAGGGGCTCCCACTGAGCGTCATTTCGCGAGAGCAGCGCACATGCCCACCCCTGCAGAACTGCCTGGATAGGGGCAGGAGGGGAAGGGAGAGGGAGAACGAGGAGGAGGACGACGATAAACCCTCCCTCCAAGTTCCCTCTTTAGAGGCCCCTACAAGGATTATTTTCATTGAGGGGAAATGCCACGGTGGAAGACAATCGCTTGAAAATCCTGCACCGTGCCAGAACACCGTTGCTGGGACTTCAACGCCGCGCATGAATCTTACTGTTGCGTCCTGGCAATCCTGAATCATGCCAGGACGATATCCTCGGAGGTTCAACACCGCGAAGTTGACTACTGCGCCCTGAGAGTCCTACATCGTGACAAGACACCATGTCTGGTGTGGCAACCATAAGAATCCGTGACACTCTTGTAACTTCATAAGACAAGCGAATGTGGTCGGCGCTAAATCGAGATCCACATTCTGAAAAGGAACCGGCCTCCATCCGTGAAACGCGCGCAATGTTTGAAAACGAATTTGCGCGGCGCTGAAGCAGGAACCAGATTGTGAAAAAGAACCGCCCTCCATCAGTAAAACCATCGGAATATGTGAAGTCACGTGTGCACGGCGCTGAGGCGAAAACCACCTTTTAATAAGGAACCGCCCTCCATCAGTGAAGATCTTGTGAATTTGTACGACGAATGCGCGCGGCGCTCAAGCGAGAACCAAAATTTGAAAAAACGGCCTCCGTCTGTTAAACTTTTGCAAGGTCTGAGCTTCAGGAGCATCAATGTTGAAGAAGTATCAAGCGAAACGCCCGGCCCGCCCTACCGACACGTCTCGGGTTGCGACAGGATCATAAGCAAACGGATCTGGTGATGATGAAGCAGCCAAGCCGATCATGGGTGGTTCAGCACCCCCGTGCCGCAGATTCGAAGCCTCGCCTCTGCATAGCAGACAGGGATTCCTCCCCCCTCCCTCTGACCATCGCTCAACCGATCCTGATCCCCTCTTGCGTGGCCTTGGCCCCGCTGGTCGACTTACCCACCCAGGGGGGGATATACGATGTTCCCCTCGTGCTTCATGGGGACTACCCCCCCTGGGGGTGGGGCTTCTAGAGCTTAGATACCATGACCACGTGGGGAGAGGGATAGGTGAGACGATGCTGACCCTCCTCCCCAACCTCTTCCCTGGAAGTTTCCTGAGACTCGGAGAAGGCTGGCTGACATCAGGACAACTTATCCTCCTCCTCCTCCTCCTCCTGCTTCTCCCCCTCCTCCTCCGGCCCCGCACGCCCCGCACGCGGCAGCATCAGAAGCCTCGTCCCCGATGTCGTACTCCAGGACGTTCTCCACGAATTCGCACTGCATGACCTGGCGGGGGCTCTGCTGCTGCTGCTGGGACGAATACAGAAGAAGGGGGCGAGAAAGAGAGGACGGATGATAATTAGGTGACCCTCCCTCCTCCTGTACCTCCTCCTCCTCCTCCTCCTCCTCCGCCCCTTTCTCTGACTCATCTCACTATTCCGTAGCAGGAAGGAGGATGCTGATGAAGGAGGGGAAAACGATAGGCGGGACCCTTCTTTGGCAGATGCCTCATCCGAGTTTGCTTTTCAGTCGGCGAGATTTCGTGCGCATTGCTGCATCCATCTACTCCATCGCCTTGACAGCCGTCACCTTGCTCTTGTCATAACTGGTATGCGCCTGCTCCAACCTCTGATGGACCACGTCAGCAGCAAAATGAGCAGCGAGAAAGCGGCGGGAAGGGTGTATCCAGCCTCGAGGGCATGAGCTGCCGCAGCTCGAGCCAGAGGCTCCGGAGCCTCACCATCATATACAATATCAAACTCATCCTCCGACAACATTAGAGGGAGGAAAAACGCCATAAACATACACTCCTACCTGAAAGGCGTAGCCTCCCCAGGGGCCGCGGAGACGGGCGACAGTACTTTGGATTCAGGTACATGTTTCACAGCGGCCATGAGCTGCAAGCGCCGTGGCATCCACGGATGGTTCTCAAGAAAAAACGGCCAATTGCTGGATAGTGCATCAAAACCTCCACAGAAGTCACACAACACAGAACTCGTGGTGCGTGGGGGAGGCGGGCGGGAGCTTGAAGCCAAGACGTCACCGCGAGAATGAGATCGTGGCAAGACGAAGAGAAGATCGGAAACATTCGAGGCCACACGGTTGCAGGGAAACGAATTAAAGACAATTCGCTCTTACCTGAAAGGCGTGGCCTCCCCAGGGGTCGCGGAGACGGGCGACGGCACTTTGGATTCAGGCACATGTTTCGCAACGGCCGTGAGCTGCAAACGCCGTGGCATCCACGGATGGTTCTCAACAAGAGACGGCCAATTGCCGGATAGTGCATCATAAACCTCCACAGAAGTCACACAACACGAAACTCGTGTCCCAGCCCCATATGCAAATGCCCTAGGGAGGGCGGGCGGGGAATAACAATTATGCAGCGACAAGGCTGAGCGTGGCTGAACAGCACTGGCGCGATGAAGACTACGCGCGCGCACGACGAAGGATATCACGAGCACGGCTTTCGGTGAAACGGCGGGCACGCTCGATCTGTTCGGAGGTGAGCTCTGAGCGCTGGCGCAATGCAGAGCTGCGCTGTGCTTCTCATAGATTCGAACACTCTCCTTCGCTCGCCAGCGGCCTCTCTGCTGGATGGCCTCGATGGGCCGCGCGTTGTTCAAAGCGTCGCGCGAGGGCCCCCCGCGGCGCAGCTGGCGAGGCGCGGACAGACGGTCGCCCGCGCCTGCAAAGACGCCCGCTGCTTTCAGCATCTTCTCATACAGGGGTAAAGAGACAGGGTGAAAAAAGGGGAAGCGGTGAGAGACGGCGAGCGCGGTTCCTCAGCTTTGACAGAATCTCGGGGGCGAGCCTGCGGAGCGGCAGCGCTGCCCCCGCCTTCGCAGCGCAGTCAAAGTCTCTGTTCTTAGCAAGTTTCCCCTCACCCCAAAGCGCAACTACGACCGTGACATCTGCGGCAGCCCCTGAAGCGCGGGGGCCGAACGCACGCTCAGGCTTGATGGCTAGCAACTCGCCTGGCCGAAAGTACATATCAAACTGGACTAGGGTACCTCGCGCCACCAACAAGTCGGCGCTGGCCCCGTTGCCAAGCGCCAAGCATGCGAGCTGCACTGCTTCAAAAGGGGGCGGGTCACGAAGGGGCGGCGGCAGCTTAGAGGGCCAGCCCGCGAGGGCGCCCTTGGCCTTCTGAAAGTTGGGCCTCGCTGCCGCCCAGCCCCGCTCTTCGCAGAGACCGCAGAGGGCCATCCTTCCCACGCACTGCGGTTCGCCCGCGAAGAACAGATCCTCGAAATAGAGGTTGAGAGTCTGGGCGCGTCGAGCGACAGCCCCTGCCGCTCGGCATACTCGGTGAACTCGACGACAGCGGAACGGTAACTGGGCGGCGTGGCAGGCCGCAGGCTCGCCAAGCGCAGGTCATCGCCCGGCGCCGCGTCGCGCCGGCTGGCGGCCTGGCCCCCGCGGGCAGCAGCCTCCGCCCGCCGCCGTCGGTCCGCGACGGCCAGAGGGCGGGTCGCGGGCGCCCGAGGCTGCCCTGCGTTGCGGCCGGCGCGGGTACCCCTCGCAGCAACGGGCGCATCTCCAGCGTCACTCGCGCCGGCCGCCCGCGGTCGCCAGCTCAATGATCATCGCGCCCGCGCGGCAGCGCGGCCGGCGCCCGCGGCGGCAGCGCGGGTAGCGGCCCCGGTGCCCAAAGCCGATCCAGCGGCGCCGCGCGCCCGCCTTGGCGTCCAGGGCGAGCTGGGCGGCGCGTCATCGGCCCCTCGGACGCGGGTCGAGCGCCGCGGGCCATCCTGGCCGCCAGGGCAGCCGAAAGCGCCGTGGGCAGACCGCCTGGAGCCTTGTGGGGTCGTAGACGCCGAGGCCCGTTGACGGCGCAGAGAGACCGTGGAGCCTCTGCGCCTGGCTGCGCCTGGGCCCCGAGACACCTCCGGGCTCCGCCGGCAATGGCTCTCGATTCCCGCCGGCGGGGGCCCGCCGCGTGCAAGGCGCACCCAGATGGACCCACCAGAGCTCGCCAGACTTGAGCCAGTGCAGCACCAGACGCTGAACTCTACGGTTTGCGAAGTCACAGCGGGGCCCGTACTTGGGGCCCATAGGAGCCATAACCCGAAAGCCACGCCTGTGGGCGCCCCTGCAAGGTTGGCAGCCCCCGCGAAGAGCTCCAAGAAGGCCTTGCGAGGTGCTCGAGACCCTGAAGGCTGAGACACGCCCGCGGCCCTCAAAGGAGCCACGATGATGCCCGAGAGCCCCGCGTGGTACAATACCTTTTGCGGGCCCTCCACGCAGAGCGCCAGGCTGCCCAAGACGTCCGGGGGGGCGCTGTCGAGGACCCACGGCTGGTTGAAGAACCCTCCAAGGATCCCTTGAACCGCGTCGGGTCGGCAACATCTGGGTCATCCGTAATCGCGTACTCTGGGATGCTCATCATGTAGCTCGTCGTCGACCCGATCCCGAATGTCTCGAACTGGCTGACTCCGATCTCTCTCACACACAGGCAAAGAAGGACGTGGGGTGATGAAAAGAGGAAGCTGAAGATGCATCGGTAGAAAAACACTCGTAGCTTTCTGGCCGCACATGGTCGGCCACACTCCCTTGGATCTGAAGCTCTGTTCGGGCGTCGGGTCGGGCCGCCAGCTCGCGGCGGCTGCGCTGGGTCGGCGCCATGAGAGCCCCTCGCCCTCGATAGCAGCCTGCGCGCAGCTCGCCTCGGTTCGCAGCTCGGCCCCCGTGATCCGCGACGTTGTAGATGCCAGGGGCGTGCCGGGGGCGCCAGCGAATCTCGCGCCCGAGGCGCACCGCCGCAGCGCGTCTGCACTGCGCCAGCAACTCAAAGTTGGTGGCCCTGCCCTTCTCAAAAGCGATGACCGACGATATGTTGTCACATAGACTGAGGATCTCTTTGCCGTGGGAGGCCACGTCGGCGGCGGCCCTCCAAAGCGGCGCGACCGCGGCACGGGCCTCACGGGCGTGGATCCTCCCAGGGCGCCGCCAGGACCCCCTCCGCCGCTCGGTCCAGCGGCCCGGGTCCGGCAGCGCGTCCGCCAGCGGCTCGGGCGGCACCCCGATCTCCAGCTCCACTCGCCGCCGCTTCGCCACGGCGCGGCGCAGCTTCGGCGGGGCCCGCAGCGGCAGCGGCTCCGACGGGTCGGTGAAGTCCACAGCCCGGCCCTCGTAGAGCTCGTCGTCGGATGCAACCTCGGCCTCCGCGGCGACGAAGCGCTGCCGCTCACGCCACTGGGTAGTCGCCAGCACTTCCCAAGGCTCCAGCCTCGCCTCGCACGCCGCGTAGCCCCGCAACGAGCTGTCGGTGGTGAGGGCGACGTCAGACGGCACGCGGCAGAGGTCGACCTCCCCCAAGAAGATGAGGCCAGCTGTCGTAGCAAGCTCTCCAGGCACATCAGGAGGTAGTCGGGCCACAGGCGCCGGCTCGCCGTCGCCGCCGGCGAAGGCGTAGCACGCGCCGAGCACGCTGAGACCCGGCCGCAGGACCGAGAAGAAGTGCACCCGATCCGCCGCAGCCGCCAGCGCGCCAGCCAGGGCTCTCGCATCACGTGGTGCAGCGAGAGGTAGAGCCGCCACGCGCGCTTCGAGGTGCGCCTAAGCCCCCCTCGCGCCCGTGGAGCACCATCCCCAGGATGACAAGCCCCGGCTGCGCCCGCTCCAGCTCTTGCCAGTCCAGGCCGCGCCCGTCGAGCTCGTCGGTGAGCCCGGCGAGCAGGTCGTTGATCGCCGAGGCGATGAAAGAGATGAAGTCCCCATCATCGACGCGCGGCGACCTGTCGACTGACTGGGCCGGGGCACGAGCCTCGTCAAGGCACCGGGCGTCGCGCGGGAGCCCGGCCACATCCATCGCGTTGACGAGAACCTCAAGGCAGATCCAAAGCGCAAAGCTCCACCCGATGGGCAGCGCTGCGAAGCACGACCAGATCGGCTCGTCGGGGGGCACTCGGCGCTGGAGCTTCGCGTCATAGATCGCGTCGATCCCGAGCTCGTCGGCCGTGACCTGAACGTCGAAGCACATCCAGCTCTCCCAGGACGGGTCAGCGAACTGGTAGAAACCGCCCATGAGGTCAAACGAGCCAGCGCAAAGTGACTCGTAGCAGCCGTCGAAGTCGGCGAGGCCCTCGGGGCTCGCGTCAATCGCGTCCAGAAGGTTGATCGACCCAAGCGCCTCACCAGACGCCAGCGCAGCGCGCGGGGGCAACTTGTGGAGCTGGTTCGGCTGGCGGGCGTCGACCGCCACGCAGATGCCCCCGTTCTTCTTGGCCACGAAGAATGCGCTGGCGCGCGCCTGCCGCCGTCGGCGGCCGCCCGACAGCCCGCGAGCGGCGAGGCGCCGACGGAAGTCGACGAGGCGTCCACGGTTCTGAAGGACTCGAAGGTTGAGCAAAGGGTCCCAGCACGGCTCGACGATGTCCTCCTCCTCGGGGACGGCGGCGACGGGCCGCGCCGCGTCCGAGTCGAAGTCGCTGAGCACCTTGGCGACGCGCCTCGGGGAGATGCGTCGAAACTGCCGAGGCCGATCCTCGGGACTTCGTCTGAGAACATTGACTTTGTCAGCGCGCCCCCGTTAGACTGCGCATCCTTGCACTTGAGGAACTCCTGCAAGGCTCCAGCTGAGTCCATGTCCTTCGGGCGCTCGCCGAAGCCGCGGACGCGATGTCGGACCCGCTTGATGACCGACTCCTGAGCGGTAGTCGGCCTCTGCTTGCAGGGCGCTCGAGGCTCGAGACGCCACCCAGCCCGCGCGGCCGCCAAGGCGTCGAGCGCTCCCACGGCCTCGAGATACCGACGGTCGCGATCATCAGCACGAGCAGATTGCCTAGCCAGATACCGACGCAAAGCGGCACGTTCTCCTCGGCGAGGCCGACGAAAGAATCCCTCGCCTTGAGGAAGAGGAAACAAAACTGTGGACAGAGTCCGGCCTTCGGAGGAGACCCCCTCGGAGGGCTGCCCAACTCGACGCGCATCCGCGGCTGCGATGGTCGAACGGGGCGAGGGAAGGCCGGGCGGAGCGCCCAGCCACATCGGCGCCGCCATGGCGCCGACAACACTGCTTCTTCCCAGGCCCCCGGCCCTTCGGCTTCGACTTGGCCTTCGGGTCCGGTGTCGGGGGCCTCCGATCGTCGCCCAACCTGTCGTCCTTCTTCGCTTCGGGCTCCTGCTCCTCGCGGCGCAGCCGCTCCTGCTTGAGAATGATCCCCCGGGCGCGTTACTCCTCCGCCACGAAGGCATCGAACTTTGAGGTCGCCGCCCCGCCGCTCTCGTCCAAGGAGCTGCTCAACATCGGGCCCGGGCCTTGAAGCTCTGGCGACGAGGGCACCGCTTCGCCGCGCGCTGAATATGAAGCACACGGCGCCCCGCCAACTTGAACGAAGCCAGGTTCGATGTGTCCAAGAGGTCGTAGGTCACGACATGGTGCAGCACATTCAGGAGGCGCCGCATCTCCTGCAAGACGCCCGCGTTCCGCAAGACACCCGACTCCGAGACCCAGAACCCCCAGTACGACGTGAGCGTGAGCCCGGTCGCCACCACCGCAGTCAGCAGCTCGGGGAGGGCCTTCGGCCCGCGTAAAGGCCAGTCGGAGATCTCGAGCGAGTTCATCCTGCCTAGCGCGTCCGAGAGCACGACATGATAGCCTGGCCCACGTCGCGAGATCGGCGAGATGCGAGGATCCCGCCCCGGCCCCCGCCTCTTCTCCGCGCGCCAGTCCTCCTCGTCGGCCTCCTGGGTTTTCTCCACCGAGACCCATCGATCCCTCCTCCTCGCTGATCATCGCAATGCCGACGGCGTCGCGATGCACCAACCGCTCTGGATTGCCCGACACCTGTAGGTCCAGCTCCTTGCCGAAGTCGGGAGAGCCTGGATCCGAGACGACACGGTAGCCCTGGGCGGAGCCGTGGGGGCGCTCACGCCCATCACGACGGCGAGCCCGCGCGCCTCCACCCGGAGCGCCTCGATGTCCTCGTCGCTCAGCTCCCCGAAAGCATACACCTGGCCGCGCACCCTGGTAAGGCCGACGCGCGGCGCAGCGCGACGACCAGGTGACCGCTGAGGTCGAGCACGAGCACCTCCCCATCTGGACTTGCGGCCACCAAGACGCCCGGGCTCAGTTGCACCAACAGGAGTCGGTGGTGCCACCTGAAGATGTCGCTGTCGTCGAAGTTCACGCATACCTGCGGCTCCGGCACGTCGAGCGTGCGCTGGGCCATCTGGCCCTTGAGCTAGGTCAAGCACGAACTGCCCGAAAGCAAGCCCGCGCCCCGCTGTCGGTCGCCTCCGAATCCTGGACCACCAGCGCGACGGTCGAGCTACCCTCGGCGCGGGCGGTGACGAGCCCCGCCGCCCGCGCGGCGACCCACCCAGCAGCCCGCAGCAGCCCGGCGCCGCCGAAGCCGAGCAGCAAGCAGGCGGCCAGGGCGGCGCCCACCGCCCACCAGCCCGGGCCCGCACCGCAGGCCAGGCTGCAAGTCGGGCGGTGTGGACAGCCAGGGCAGGTCCCGCAACTAAACGCCGGCGACCCCTTGCACGCGGGGCAGCTCCCGCACGTGACCCGCGCCTCTGGGCAGGCGGGGCACTGCGTGATCCAAGCGGTCGCGACCGAGGCAGCCCACGGACCAGCCGCCAGCCACGGGGCGCCCATCCGCCGCGGGGCCCCCAGGATAGAGCTTGAAGCCAAGACGTCACCGCGAGAATGAGATCGTGGCAAGACGAAGCGACGATCGGACACATTCGAGGCCACTCGGCTGCGGGGCGACGGGTCAGAGACGATTCACCCTTGGCGCTCCGTGCGGCTTTCTTGGATCTGCGCTGGACCCCTCTCCCTGGGGCGCGGAGCGCGCCAGGGGCGGCGCCGGAGGCGCCGCCAGGGGGTGGGCGGGGGCCGGCGCGGCTCCAAGAAATCCGCGCGGAGCACCAGCAGTTTACGCTCACGGCGGCTTCCTTCCCTGGCATCCCGGCATACACTGCGGCCGAGGCGCGAGCACAGCCCAGCGGCTGGCAGGCGGAGATCCCTCCTTCCTTCCCATGGACCCCAAGGGTTGTCGAGCTAGTGCGGGTCGTGCGAGCGACTGGGTTCCTGCCAGCAGGATGTCCTCCACCCGCGGCCGGTCCACGCATGACGGGAGCCATCCATGGCAGCCGGTGCGCAGAATAACAAGAGCGGTAGCGTGAGCTCCTCCGCCCACAGCTGACCTTGTGGCCGCCCCTCTTGTTGGCACACGTCCGCGCATGACGCGAGCCATCCACAGCAACCAGTGCACAAAATCATAAGAGCGGCAGCGTACCGTACCTCGAAGGTATGCACAGCCTGGTGCTGACAAGGGAAAGCAGATGGGGCCGCGACCCCCCCACGCCAAAAGAGCTCTAGTCCCTGAGCCACTCGCTACGGATTTGAGCGAAAATGGTTACGGACTCCTCCTCTTCGTGCTCCCCCTTCCCCTCCTCCACAACTATATGAATGCAACTCTCCTCTCACCCCCGAATCTGTCTGGAAGATGCTGGGCTCTCTCCGCGTACTGTATTTTCACACAAGATGTCATGGCTTGGTTTTTCTCATATGTAGTATTACAATCCGATTGTTCTACAGCGTGGGCCTCATTTTCGGATCGATTTGCTCCCGTCTTTCAGAATGGCGCTCTCGCCTCTCGCCCCAGCGTGGGCCACTTTTCTGGATCCAAGTGTCGCAGGTCTCGCAGGTCTCCCAAGTCCCACAGGTCCGACAGGTCCCGCAAACAATTCCCACAGGTGTCGCAGGTCTCCCAGGTTCCACAGAGGTCCCCCGGGTCCCTCAGGTCCCACGTGTTCCGCGGGTACCACAGGTCCCGCAGGTCTCGCAGGCCTCGCAGGCCGCACGATTCCCACAGCTCGAACAGGTCCCGCCGGTCTCACAGGTGTCGCAAGTCTCACACGCCCCTCATGCCACATATGTCCCCTAGGTCCCACAAGGCCCACAAGTACCGAAGGTCCCACAAGTCCCACAAGTCCCACAGATCCAGTTCCCACTGGTCCCACAGGTCTCACAGGCCACAGCAGTCCCACAGGTGCCACAGGTCCCACATATCGCATAAGTCCCACAATTGCCACCTGCCCCACAGGTCTCAAAGGTCAGGCTACAACACGCGTCCGCGAATACGGAAGAAAACAACGCAATGGGAATGGATGGGAGGGAGGGATAGAATGTCAGATGGAGTGCGACCGCACCTAGCTTATCCTCCCCCGCTCTCCTCCCCCCCTATCCTCGCCCCTACACGCGCAAACACATACATACATGATCCAGGTCCAGGGGCCCGACACCCCGCCCCAGCCACCATGCAGATAGCATCGGGCCCCCCCCGCCCCCCACGATGGGTCCCCCCCCTTGCGGGTGTGGTGTGGTGCTGTGGGTGTGGCGTGTGTGGTGCTCCAGGAGAGCGCCGTCGTCGTCGTCGTCGCCGTCGTCTTCGTCGTCGTCGTCGCCGTCGTCGTCGCCGCCGCCGTCGTCGTCGTCGCCGTCGTCTTCTTCGTCGTCGTCGTCGTCGTCGTCGTCGTCGTCATCGTCACATTCGTCGTCGTCGTCGTCGCCGTCGCCGTCCTCCCCCCCCCATCCCATCTGGGGAGTGGGGGGGGCGTGGAGTCCTGGGACCCATCGTATCTGGGGGGGAGCCCGTGAGCCCTCAACCTGGGATCATAAATACACACACTCACACATGAGCTCCGAGGTAGCGAAAAATTACAGCATCGTAAAAAAATCACGCCCGGAGCCCTAGACCTCATCTTCCTGCGTCATCTTTCGAGCCCGATCGATATGTGAGGTCCCCGGGGCCCCAAGCCGAGCGAAAACGCGCGTTTCGTGACAAAAACGCAACGCCAGGCTTTCGGGGACACACACACACACACACAGCTGTTCAGGAAACTAACCACAGCCACTGCTTCTTGTTTGCGCTGCCTTCCAGCCGGCCGAAAAAGAAGCAATGGTTGTGGTCATTTCCCTGGTGCCAAGCTTAACGAAAATGACCACAACCACTGCTTTGTTTCCGCTGGCTGGAAGGCGGCAACAAAAGAAAAGCAGTGGCTGTGGTCGTTCACGTCCCGTACATACACACACACACCTTCCCTCCCGCGGCCTCCCCGCTGCCTGGAAGGCGCCGGCCCCCGGGCGCCCTGGCCGCAGAGGCGGGCTGCCACAGGAGAGAGAGGCTCGTGAGCCGCAGAGGCGGCCGAGAGGCGTCTCCGAGCTAGGCCTTCAAGGACACGCATACACATATTTTCTGTTTCGCGGCCTCCCCGCTGTTTGGAAGGTGCCAGCCCCCGGGCGCACTGGCCGCAGAGGCGGGCGGCCACCGGAGAGAGAGAGGTCCGTGAGCCGCAGAGGCGGCCGAGAGGCGTCTCCGAGCGGAGCGGACACGCCCAAGCCTCTGGCGTGTGGCGCCGGCACGGCGGCGGCCCTGGCAGATCTCGACCCCCTCCTCCTCCTCCTCCTCCTCCAACTCCACCTCCTCCTCCTCCTCCTCTTCCCCTCCTCCTCCTCCTCCTCCTCCTCCTCCACCTCCTCCTCCTCCTCCTCCTCCTCCTCCTCCTCCTCCTCCTCCGCCCTCCTCCTCCTCCTCCGCCCTCCTCTTCCTCCACCCTCCTCCTCCTCCCAATAGGGGATCGACTACAGAATGGATTTACTCCAAAATTTACTTTCCCGCCGAGTAGACAGGAAGCACGCAGAGTGTGTGTGTGTGTGTGTGTGTTTGTGTTTGTGTTTGTGTTTGTGTTTGTGTTTGTGTTTGTGTTTGTGTTTGTGTTTGTGTTTGTGTTTGTGTTTGTGTTTGTGTTTGTGTGTGTGTGTGTGTGTGCGTGTGTGTGTGTGTGTGTGTGTGTGTGTGTGGGGGGGGGGGGGGGGTGCGTGTGTGTGCGTGTATGTGTGCAGATCTACGGGGCACTGCGCGTATTTTGTTCGTAGACTCTGCGGGAAAATTAATTTTGGGGCAGTCGATGCCCTACTCGATCCCCGCGGGGCCAGTTTTGCCCCACCGGACAGGTCGGGGTCGTCACACGGAAAACGAGGCGGCTCCCAACCCGCCTCGCACACCCTGCATGCCCTGGCCGGCGGGCCCTAAAAGGTCTGGGTGCTCACGGGGTGTCGCGCCTCGCGGCTTCGACGAATGGCTGCCGCATGCCGCGGTCCAGTCTTTGGCGTCACCTGGGCCCAGTAAGGGCCCCCAGGGGCGGAACGTTTCCAAACACCTTCCTAAAAGCATGCCCCCCAGACCCCTCGCAGGCGGGGTCCATCCTGGTCGTTCCCAGCCACCCTGTTGGGTCCCCGTTTTGAATCAGTAGCGCTCAGTGTCTCACTCCTTCCTCCTGCCCCTCCTCCTTCCTCCCTCCTCCCATCCGTGCCTCTGCCCTCTGCCTGCGCACCCCGCAAGCGCTTCGTGGTCCCATACGAGGGAGCTCCACTGAAGGCCCATGTGGCAGTGCTCACATGCGTCCTGCACCCATCTCGGCGCACCCCTCACATGTTCCGTAGCCCCGAAGGGAGCTCCACTGAAGGCCCCAGTGGCAGTGCGCACATGCGTTCCCGCGCCCATCTCGCACCACTCACACGTTTCGTGGCCCCAAAGGGAAGTCCACCGAACGCCTCAGTGGCAGTGCTCACATGCGTCCCCGCGCCAATGCGCGAATGGTGAAGCGGAGCACCCTCACTCTGGAGTGACCCCACAAAGAAGATGTGGCACTCAGATGATGCCGCGTCGTGACTGCACAGCGTAAACAAAAACTATCAGTGCAGCCCCGCGGCAGACCCTGGCCGGGTGAAAACGCGGGGCCACCACGCCCCCGCTGTCAAAACCCCCCAGAACGACAACCAACAAAAACCCGCATCGGCCAAAAAGCCGCATGGGCCGGCACCCACGGAGCCCGTCCAGCAATCATACAGAGAGAGGACTTTGACGATGTGTTGGCCGAAACACCCTCGTCACCAAGTCGGTGCCTCAATCCGAAATGATGCCGTAAGGGTGATCCTAGGGGCGACCGCCGCGACCCGTTGACCTTTGCGGGCCCCGCCGATGGCCACTCAGAAAAGCCCGGCAGCAGCAGCGGGTGGCGGTGCGAAGTCATGCCAGTACTGTCGCGTATGCACGCTTATGGTGTTGCGTAGTGAGCTGAAAAAGCTCATGTTACTCTTACAGGTCGTCTAACCTCTACAGGTCCAAAGACGACGCATAGTGCGGCGTAGTGCCTACTAGGTTCGCCTCGGCCGCGGAGGCGGCCGACCCCGTGACCCCGAGCAGCGTGTTCATGAACAGCTGCAAGAGGGTGTGGTCGTCGTCACCGTCCCCGCGCACATCTCGGCGCACCCCTCAGGCGCGTCGTGGCCTCATTGTGAGCTTCACCGAAAATCCCAGTGGCTGTGCTCACATGCGTCCCCGCACCCATTTCGGCGCATCCCTCACGCGTTTCGTGGCCCCAGAGGGAGCTCCACCAAAGGCCTCAGTGGCAGGGCTCACATGCGTTCCCGCACCTATTTGAACACACCCCTCATGCGCTCTGCGGCTCCATAGGAGGCCCCTCCGAAGGCCCCAGCGGCACAGTCCGCATGGCGGCGCCGCACCCTTTCCGGCGCACCCCACACGCGTTTCTTGGCCTCAGAGGGAGCCACGCCGAATTCCCAAGTTGTGCAATCCGCATTTCGTCGCCGCACCACTTTTGGTATACCCGTCACACGGTGAGCTCCCCCCTCTCTTCCCACCTGCCCTGCGGCATTCACACCTGCAGATGGTTTGTTCTTTCGCCACTATACATGTCTCGAGTTGCGCCCAGCTGTGGCGATGAGAACCTCCAGAATCGTCACAAAGTCTCAAATAAAAGCGAATTCAAAGAAAAACGTTCTGACTTTTTTCGTGAGGCGACGAGGTATGGGAACACGCGTAGGGGGGCGAGCGAGAGCGGTCGGAGGCTAGTATTTGTTTGCTTGTGCACATATATATATATATATAAATATGTGTGTGTACGTATTCCGGGGAAGCGATGTTCCCGGACCTCGCGAGGCGTCACATGAATCTATTCGGGAACCTTGGGACCCAACCTTGCCCGACGCCTCCTGGCCTGGTGTCCCAGGACATCGTTTCCCCAAGCGGTGAATTGGCGCGCCTGAAATGTGCATGGAAGAATTGGGTCGGTGCCCAACAGCGGCCGCTGCTGGGCAGGGGGCGCTCAATGTCTCAGACGGACAACGCCCGCGGTGACACCGACAGCGAGTCCCGCCCCAAATGGACAGGCACTGCTGTCGATCTTTGTCCCCGCTGCTTTCGTACCCCCAGACATCCGACGATGTGAGCTCTTCCATGCGCGACCTCCTTCCCCTGTGCTAGACTTTCGTCCGGGACCCGCTCCTGCTGGCTACTGTGGGCCCCAGAGCCCGAGCTCGAGGACAACCGCTGGAATGGAAGCACTGCGGCCAGCCGCGGTGGTTTGCCCAGACGATCCTCTGAGGCTTTTTGATTTTCAAACTCGGTTCTTCTCCTCCTCCTCCTCCTCGTCCTCCTCGTCCTCCACATCCTCCTCCTCCTCCTCCTGCTGGCCCTCCTCTGCACCATCCTCATCATCATCACCTCCCGAGAGGAATGATAATAGGAGGAGGAGGAGGAGGAGGAGGAGGAGGAGGAGGAGGAGGAGGAGGAGGAGGAAGAGGGAGGAGTGGAACCGAGCTGGAAGAACAGAGAAAGTCCTAGAAAGCCGGCCAGGCAAACCCCCGTGGCTGTGGGAAACTTCGGGGTCGGAAACCGTTGGTGAGCGTGTCGCGGCGCCGGCCCCGGCGGCACGCGATGCGCTGCAGGGGGACAGCGCGTCGCGCTGCTCCGCGGAGCGGGAAGCTCACCATCGCTCGGACGTCCATTTCCTGTGTTTTTTTCGGTTTCGTGCTTGGTTTTTTCGCCAGATGATCAAGGATGCTCCTCGATAGTTTTCGCCGAAGGAACAATACACACGTCCGAGCGATGCCAAGGAAGCTGGGCAGAGCTCGGAACGCCGGCGCCCGGGAGCTGGGACGCGGCCAGCGTTTCGCTTCGAAGCGCGGTGGGCCAGCGCCGGCGGAGCGACACGCCACCCCAAAGCTTCTGGCTGTGTCTCGAGCCAGGCGAAAGGGGGGGATAGCAAAGGGGGGGGTTGAGAATCAGCTCGCGGCGCTGATCTTCCCGGCACCTCCCGGCGCCGGGAGGCGGCCATGCATCGAGGAATGGGCCCCTCGGTGGGATTTCGTACCCCCCCTTTCCCAATCCCCCCCTTTCGTCAGGCCTGAGTATCGGCGGCGATCTGTCGGCGGTGGACAAACCTCCCTTTAGTAAACCTCCCCTTAGTGAGAACCGCCTGGGACCGAAACCGACGGACCTGGACCCGCAACAACGGCGGCCGCGGCGCCCTCTCGCGAGCCGAAAACGGCCCATTCCTGAATCGACGTGTCCGGGTCGGAGGTCTGTCCACCCCCGCCTCGCGAGGAAACTTCACGCCAGGGTCGCCCCCAGGGGCCTTGAGGTCCCAGAGCGTGGTAAGACACCTGCCTTTAGCTCTAGCTCCAAGAGAGGCCCCAAGACGACGACGAGAAAACTGATGATAGCTGCCGAAAGCCCCGTAGACCTGGGCCGGCACAGAGACGGAAAGAGCGCTTCAGAAACAGAAGCCGAAATTACTCACACATGCCAAAACCCGAAGGAAAACCCGAAAACGGCCTTTAACACCCAAATGCGCACGCTACCCCCCTCCCCTGGAACCCCTCCCTTTAGGGCTTCGCCCACACCAGAACGTCATCACTCGTACCTCGCTCTTCCCGAGCTGGATCTCTCGAGCGCTCCGCCGTCTCGAGCGGTGTGCGTGCAGAGCAGGGCCTCGGCAACGCCACACGCCCGCGGGGCCCTGTGGCAGAGGAGCAAGAAAAGGGGGAGGGGGGGGCATTTTGAGTCGGATCTCTCGAGCGCTCCGCCGTCTCGAGCGGTGTGCGTGCAGAGCAGGGCCGCGGCAACGCCACGCGAAGGCGTGGCACTGACAGAGTGGCCAGCCCCCCCCACACGTGTCGCATGCTCTAGCGAGCAAGAACACAGCAACGCCCCAGGACAGCGAGGCGATGACAGTGCAGCGCAGCATCAACACCGTGGCCCTGTGTCAGAGAAGCAAGAAGCGGCGGTGGACAAACCTCCCTTTAGTAAACCTCCCCTTAGTGAAAACCGCCTGGGACCGAAACCGACGGACCTGGACCCGCAAAAACGACGGCCGCGGCGCCCTCTCGCGAGCCGAAAACGGCAAATTCCTGAATCGACGTGTCAGGGTACAGTCGGAGCGTTGACCCAAGGAACCCTAAATAAGGAACGAGGCCCCCTTCATCCACAAGTTGAACTTCGATCTCCCATCGAAAACCAAAGGAAAACCCAGGGCAGACTGTGAAGCAATCCAGGAACACGGAGCCCCTCCCCAATGAAAGGGTTCCTTCCTCAGGGCCCCGACGTGTGGGAGGTCGATCCACCTCCTGAAGAAGCGGGGCAGGGGGGGGGGGCGGGCGGGAAAGCGGGAAAGCGGGGCCCAGTCGGGGCGCTGAAGAAGGAACCCTTTTCGTTGGGGAGGGGCTCCGTGTTCCTTGATTGTTTCACAGCTTGCCTTAGGTTTTCCCTAGGTTTTCGATGGGACATCGAAGTTAAACTTATGGGAAAAAGAGGCCTCGTTCCTTATTTAGGGTTCCTTCGGTCAACGCCCCTTCTGTAGGAGGTCGATCCACCTCCTGAAGAAGCGGGGCAGGGGGGTGGGCGGGCGGGCGAGGAAGCGGGAAGGCGGGGCCCAGCGCGCGGTTCGGCCGCGTGCACGGGCGCCGACGGGGCGAGACCTCGGGGAGGCCACCCGGCGCAGGGAGCGCCCACGGTGCGCCCACGCGGCGAGAACCCCGGAGAGCACCCCGCAAGATGAAGGGGCCCTGGGACACACAAATTAAATACAAACAAATAAAAAGATTCCCTATTTTCCTATATTTTCGGGATTTTTGTCTTCCCCCCCACTTTTCCCATACTTTCCCATATTTTCGGGGGGAATCGACGATTCATTGTGTCTGTGTGTTTCTTTCCCTCCTGACAAGAGCCCCCACGTGCAAGCATTGAGTCGGGCCTCTCCCCCTACAGGGGGATCTTGGGCGAAAAATCAGAGATGGTAGAAAAATACTCCCCGAATGCTCAAAAATAGTCAAACAATGGTCCCCAGACCATTTCTTGACTATCTTTGAACCTCCCTCCTGTAGGGACAGGCCTGACTTGGTGCAAGCGCTGCGTGGAGCTGCTGACCTCCCGAGGGAGCTCGGGGGACTTGCCGTCGCTCGGACGTCCATTTCCCGTGCATCCTTCGGCTTCGTGCGTGTTCCTGCTGCTCGAGGGTCCAGGATGGTCCTCGATGGCTCTCGCCGAGCAAAAGTGCACACGTCCGAGCGATGCCAAGGGGAGCGGCAGAGGGGGCCCGGGCGCGCGGCTCGCCGCCGGGGCTGCGAGCACACAGGTGGCCAGGCGCCCCTGCAGCGGCCCGCGGGGCGGGCCCGAAGGGCGGGCGGCCCGCCACGCACGCGGCAGGGCCGTCGCGAGGGCACCGAGTGCATCTGCAAACGCTCGGCTGCCCACAGGAGTGGCCCTGTGTAGGAGTGGCCTGTGCAGGGAGCAGAACAGCCGCCCTCACAAGAAGCAACCCGACAAGCAGAGGCGTTCGGCAAACGCACCCAGAGGAGGAATCGAACAGGGCAGGGCTTTTCAGTAAACGCCCAGGGCCGTTTAGTAAGCGCCAATTACCGGGGTCGGGGTGGTTTTTCCCCACTTGGCTTTGGTGCGCGGCTTTCTGGGGGTCGCGGGGGGACCAAACCCAGGCGCGCAAGGCGCTACTATCGCATCGCGTTCGCCGATCGGGGACTCTGGTGGGCCCGCACCAGAGGCCATTCCGGCGAAAGGTCACTGTTACGTCTAGTCGACACACCCCCGCCTCGCAACATCCTCCGGCCGTTCGGGACGACTCCCAGGACGCCCTCAGCGAGGCGCAACTGCTGGAGGGCGCCCCGAGGCGGGACCACCTCCGCAGCCACTTCGATCGCACCGCCGAGCGGCCACGCACGCGCAGCTGATGGAGAGCCTCCCGAGGCGAGGCCCGGTCGATCGCACCGAGAATGTGCACGTTGGAGGCGGCCTGGGGGTGTGAGGAACCGGTTGGGGCCCCTGACAGGACTGGGGGATGAAGCGAAATCCGTTCCCCGGACCCCTCTTGGGGTCCCTTTGGTGCAGTGTTTCACCCCGGATCCATTTCCATTATAATCCCTGATCCCGAAAACGACCCCCTGGAGGCCGAAAAAGGCAACAACAAAAAACCTTCCCGAACGAAAACCTCGAACCATGCCCGCCCTTCCTGGCCGGAACCAGTGCTGGGCAACCTCCAACCCCCAGACGGCTCCAGGATGTGCACACGCCTCCGCCTCGCAACATCGGGCCCGCGCCCCGGCGCGGGGCTGTCACATCCGGGGCGCGCGCCCGCCTGGCGTGAGCCCTCAATGGCCCTGCTCGCCCTCGCCGCCCCCAGCGCCGTACGCCTCGCGGATCGCCCGGTAGATATCCTCCTCTCGGCCACGCGCGAGAGAGAGGGGGGAACGAAAGAACGCTACAGGAACGCAGCCCTGCTTTTGCCCCAAAGGCGCCAGCGTGAACGAGGAACGCTCGAGAAACAGCCAGTTAGACACTCAAGCGATGGCATAAACACAACCTTTCGGAGCTCCGCGCGGATTTCTTGGATCGGCGCTGCGGCCCCCCTGGCGGCGCCTCTGGCGCCGCCCCTGAGGCGTTTCGCTTTCGCGCGCCAGGGAGGGTTGTCCAGCGCCGATCCAAGAAATCCGCGCGGAGCTCCGAAAGTTTCGGCTTATGCAATTTTCCTTCGAATAGTATAGGACCTGGTTTTTGCATGAGGACTTTGAGCGAGCGGGCTTGGCGCGCGGGCAGCAGCATGCGGGCACACATAGCGCACCTTGCGACCGCAGCCTTCTTTTTGAGCAAGCTGTTGGCGAGCGGCCTGGTGCGGCGAAAGAACATCTGAAACAAAACGCTCATCGTCGCAACCATCAGTTTGGATCGTCCCACAATCGATCGCGGATGGTTAAAACAATCCCCCGGTACTTTTTAAACTAGATGTTCAGAACGTTGAAAGATGAAACCGGCGGTGGTGATTTTGTCGCTGCGATGCCCCGAGTGCCGTTTCATTGCGGCGGCGGCCACGGTACCCAGTAGCTGACCACGCAGCCCAAAGAAATGGTCGACGGAGCTGACGCAGTGCCGTCGGCCGCCTGCTCGCGGTCGCAAGGCCGCGACTGCGGCGTCTCAACCACAACTGCGGCGCCCTCATCTCGCGACGACCCAGATCCCCATCCCGCACCCCATGACTCCCAAGAGCGCCATTTGGCATTGCCCCAATCCTGCCAGGAACCGCTGCCTCTCGTCGCGCTGCCGCGGCGCCCCCCGTCCGCGGCGGCGCTGGCGGGCGTCGGCCCAGCCGCTGCTGCGGCATCGGGGCCACGAACCGTGTCAGCGCGAGTGGCGCCGCCGTCCTGCGCCTCAAGTGCGGCCCACAACTTTGCGGCTGCGGCCTCCGTGCCCTGCTGCAGGTGGCCCTTGCGTTTGTGGCCCTTCTGCTGGTCGCCCTTGTGCTGGCCGCCCCTCTGCGGGTCGCCCTTCTGCTGGTCGCCTTCCCCCTGGTCGCCCTTGCCGTCGCCCCTCTCCCCCCCGCGCTTCTCATTCCGCTTTAGGAGCCTCTCCGCTTCGCTAATTTCTGCGGCGAACCGCAGGGTCGGTCGCGCCTGAACACCGGCAAGAGGAAATGCGCCCCGTTCCGTGCCTTTCCCAGATCTAGATGTCGACTCTCGACTTTTTCTGTCGGGTTTCGAATGGGCGCGGTGCCCACTCTTCTAGATCCGCGCCCTCGGCCAAAGCGGTTCTCGCCTGACCTGCGCCATCTTTCAATCGAACTCCGCGACTGCGGTTCGGGCGCGTCAGATGGCGCCAGAGAAGAGCGCGACTTGTCAATCCGGGTAGATTTCTCTAGCAGGCACGTATCCAACGGCATCCCAGGCCCGTTCTAGCAATCCAGCGCCAGGAACTCGTCGGACTTCTCTTGCGCCAAGAGCCCGCCACTGCCTTTGCGCAAGACGCCCGGGCCTTCAGCGATGCGGCGGGCCCCAGGCAGGCCGACGAACGCAATCGCCACGCTGTCTGCCCTGAGCGCCCCGCCCGCGGTCTCCCCGGGGGTTCGCGCGGCCGCGTCGACGGCCAAGCCGCGACTGCGGCAGTGGTTGGCGACGTCGAAAATGCGCACATTGAGGTCCGCCATGCACACTTGCACGTTGTGCTGCTGGACGTGCTGGACGAACCAGTTGTTGCATTCGTTCAGTTTCTGCGCCCCGAATCCCGCCGGCCAACTAGTTGCGCGCGCGCCGCCGCGACAGCAAAGTGCGAGCTCGATGCGCCGCGGACTCGCCCATGGGTGCGCGCGCGACCACGGCCCTGGAGCATCTTTGGCAGACGCCCCCCTGCGTTCGCCACCTCTCTCATGTGGAAGAGCCTCGCCAAGTCGACGGGGTCAATGGCGCCGCCGCAGCGGCGACTGGCCGCCTTTGACGCGCAAGTAGTTGTAGCGCTCTCGCCTTGCGAGCGCGTCGCCCGCCACTGCGGTCGCGCTCTCGGCCGGGTCGCGTTTCCCAGACAGCGCTTCGAACGGCTCGTCGTCGCATTCGCAGGTGGCGAGGATTTGCGCAGGGCTTGCGCGAATCTGCGAGCACTCGTCTCTGCGCCGCTGGGGTTTCGCCGCCGCGCCCCCGAATGTGCGAAGGCAGAAGCCCGCCCCCCCATGCCCCCTTCCGCGTTTCTCCTCGCGCCCGAGGACTTGGCCTTGCTGCGCATCTGGCGACCGGCGAGTTCTCTGGATGCTCGCCTCTTTCTCCCAGGTTCGCTTCATTCCCTGGCGCGCTGCTGCAACTGCGGCCCCCGCGCAAAAACATCCCCCCGCCGCGACTGCGGCCCCGCCGTCTTTCTCGTCGGCGGCGGAGGCCGCCAAGGAGACGCCGCAGCTGTCCCCGTCTTGCGCGAAGCTGTCGGTTCCGGACGCAGCGTGGCCGTCGCCCGCGACTGCGGCCTCGCTGGCGCGGGCGCGCTCCGCGGCGGCATGCTGGGCTCCGGAACCAGAGGCGCAGCTCGCAGCAGGGCGGGCGGCCGGCCGCGCGGCGGCGCCGGCCGCTGGTCAGGCCGCTGCGGCGAGGTGCCTGCGGCGGCCCAGCGGGCCGCGAATGTCTATCGCGCGGGGAACAGGGGGCGAGAAGGGTTAGAGCAACACCTGCTAGAGGATCAAGAGGTCCTGGAGCGGGGCGGCGCGGGGGGGGGCGGGGGGAGAGAAGGGGGGGGCGGGGGGGGGGGGGGGGGGAGGAGGAGGGGGGGAAGACAAGCTAGGTGCGCTCGCGTCATATCTGACGTCCTACCCCTCCCTCCCATCCCTTACCATGGCGCTGATTTTCTCTATCCGCGGACGCGTGTCGTAGCGGACCTGTGGCTCCGCGCGCGCGTGCGTAGTGGGTGGTGGTGCACGTGCGTGCGTGCGTGCGTGTGTGCGTGGTTGTCGTGGTGGTGGTGGTGGTGGTGTGGTGGTGGTGGTGGTGGTGGTGATGGTGGTGGTGGTGGTGTGGTGGTGGTGGTGGTGGTGTGGTGTGGTGGCTGGTGTGGTGGTGGTGTGGTGGTGGTGGTGGTGTGGTGGTGTGGTGTGGTGGTGGTGGTGGTGCTGGTGGTGGTGGTGTTGGTACTGGTGCTGGTGCTGGTGGTGGTGGTGGTGGTGGTGGTGGTGGTGGTGGTGGTGGTGGTGGCGGTGCGGCGCGGTGGTGGCGGGCGGATGGGCGCGCGAGAAAGAGGCCCGCGCTGGGGCGAGAACGCCATCCTGAACGACGGAGGCCAAACACCGATCCGAAAATGAGGCCCACGCTGCAGCGGGAGCACGATTCGGAACGATTCGGGAGCAGAAATGAGGCCGGCGCCTCAACGAGAGCAGCATTTTGGGAAAAAATGACGCCGGCGCCTCAGCGAGAGTCGTTTCCCGGGATTTTCCGGGCATCCGGACGCCATCAGGGGAAGGATTCGGGAGCAGAAATGAGGCCGGCGCCTCAACGAGAGCAGCATTATGGGAAAAAATGACGCCGGCGCGAGAGCAGCTTTTTTTATATAAAAAATGACGCCGGCGCCTCAGCGAGAGTCGTTTCCCGGGATTTTCCGGGCATCCTGTGTAAAAAAACAATGCGCGGAGGGTGCGCGGCTATCACCCGGAGGCCATCAGGCGAAGAGGGAGCACATATTCATATTGAGTAATTGTGGAGGAAGGGCGAGAAAGACGATGTTTTCTCCGCGCTGCTATAAAAAAATATCCCGGCAAAGCAACCTAACAGCGATGTGTAGGAGCATATCTGGAAACATTGCCTGTGGTATTCATGCGAGAGTGGGATTCGCAGTGGCAGTCGCGGTGGCAACATCAGCAACAGTCGCAATGGCACTGCCAGTAGTTGCAATAGCAATAGCTACACTAGCAGCAGCAACAGCAGCAGCAGTAATAGTAACACTAGTAGTAGCAGTAGAAGTAGTAGTGGTGGTACTAATGGTGACAGTGAAGTAGTAGTTGTAGTGTGTGGAGTGAACGTGTAGGAGTGATGGGAGCAGTGGTAGTAGCAGTAGAAACACTGCTTCCGATAACGGCATCTCCAAAGGAGATCTTCGTATAAATGCATTGAGGTCTAAACGAGACACTGCTATCAACGGATGTAGGTCCAAACGAGACACTGCTATCACCGGGTTGAGCCTCAGACGAGACACTTGCATCAATGAGTGTAGCTCCAAAACAGGCACTCCCATGAATGGATTTAGTGTGATGTCGTAGTAGTAGTAGTATGGGCACGGACCCGTAAGAACTGAGTCTCCAGCGGGGTGCTCGGCGAAGCCATTGATGATGATGATGTTATGATTGAAGAGACACTGCCGACCGCCGTAGCATCGACGCGTCTAGAAAAGCAACTGCAGGGTGAGAAGCACCGCAGGCAAAAAGTGATTCAGTTGCAGCGGCGAGTGAAACCGAGGTGGGGGCTCGTCGACAGCCGCGGCACAACCTTCGGCACTCATTCCTGCACCCGCTGGATCACGTTATTCTTGTGCTGAAATCAAAACTTTGTGGCGGTACTCACAAGAGCAATGGCAGGCTGAGAAGCGCTGCGGGCCCAAGTGAGTAATCCCGCACAAGCAGTTACAACAGCAACTGAGGGCTGAGAAGCACCGCGGGCGAATGCGAGTCAGCGGGGACTGTGAAGTGAGAGACTTGAGGCAAACATCGCTGGCCGACTGCAAGACGAATCCGAATTCGCCAAGCAAGCAGCGAAAAAGCCTAAGGCACGCGAGGTACAGCAAGCTGAGAAGCGTCGCTGGCAAGACAACAGCATCTCATGTCAAGCTTTCTCCTGACAGGTGGCCTTCGAAGATTCTGCACTTCTTGGCTGAGTCGGGTGTCGTACTCCACGCATTCATCCGCTTGTGCTCACCAGATTGCTGAAGCTC